TATTTTCGGTCTTGGACTGCTCTGTCATACTATTCGCTATAAGATAGGATGGAGAGCTGTGACTGGTACCCCCCCCCCCTCCCCCCGCCTTAAAAAGGCTCTAGATTGCGTACGGCCATCCTGTGGTTTGTGTAACCCCTCATCTCCCTTCTCCAAAGCCCCCGTAAACATGTCAAAGACGCACCATCTGCAGCCCCATCGCCGCACATCGTGTTTACATCAGTGTCTGATAAGTGTCTGTCCTGACGAGAGCCCAGGATCCCAACGCATGGATAAGAAAAATGCTTTACATTCCACAGCTATAAAAAATCAGCACAGCGTGGATCTCATCAAGCTCACAGGGATGAAGTCTCAGCCCCTTGTGCTAAAACCATGACCGTCCACCTGACCCGCGATTCGGCCAATCGCCTAAGGTCATGTGCTGAGTGAACACACTGCTGTAAATGGTCAGTTTGTTAACTCTGTGTATTCAAAAAGCAGAGCAGTCTGGAAATGTGGAAACTACTTTATCCACTGCCTACTCTATAGCGTGACTGAAGAAATCAGTTTAAGGTCTTGCTTCTGCAGCTCAACTCGTAGGGGGCATGGGTAACTTGTAATCCTTCCCTGTACTGGAACTTTCTTTGGATAAATGTGTCAGATCAATGTAAATGATTCCCACCATTCACACAGCATCTGACCTCCTGATGGAATGTGATGTGATTCTTTCTGAATTTATCTACATTTACCCCAACAAGAATCAAACTAGACTTCAAAGGAGAGGAATATTAACTTTCAATTTTAAAATTAACAAAATTATAAAGTTGTTGTTTTCAAACTTGTTGTATCTATAAGTCATTCTCACTGTACTCCATTCAGCATAGTTGTCACAGAAACTTTTCACAATACAGGACTGAAATTTCTGTTGAATTGCAAACATTTAGGCACTCAGACCTCTTGGCATTCTCTAGAAGAAACAAACTGGCAAATGTACCCAGAATCTGGCTCTCTGTTGCAATATCAGGACCTGGAGCACATAGGCCCAGTTACGTTTTCTATTTTTAACCTCAAGTATTCATCAGCTGCCTATCTTGGACAGGCATCAGCGCAACATGATACAAACTAACAACCGTCAGTGCCGCTCTCATCGGCACACAGCTAAAGCCAGTACCTGGAAATTCTGACCAGTCACCTGACCTGCATCTTCATTTGTGATTGGCTGCTGTAGAATGAGCATTGATTTCCTTCTCTTTATTTAAGATAAGTGATGAATGTGGCTGTTTCATTCTGTCTAATATAGATCAAATAATCAATCTGGCCTTGGAGAGCAATACATCCTCATTAACTATATACATAAAATAGTCAATTTAAAAAATCTGGAGCTGTGATTTACTTCCTTTATGCGAAGTAGGTGAAAATTTAGATTTTTTTTTTAATAATAAAAATTATGCGTTGTATTTTATTTACCAACATAAACACAGTACAACACAATTAGATCTGCCATTTTTAAGTCCATTTATTTACACAATATTCATATTCAATTCAAATTCAATTATAAAAAAATACAAACTTTATGTGTCCCCGTGAGGCAATTAAAGACACACAGGGCAGTTGAACAAGGACACAGTTATGTAAAGTGCAACAGTATTTACAGTATTTAGAAGATACTGTGCAAAATTATAAGTTAAAAATTAAAAATGTATTTAGATTTATTTATTTATAAGACTCTATTACCAAAAGCAACACAGAATTACGAAAGCAGGGTGAGACAGTCCCCGGATTAACGGAGGGTTAAGGACCCTGCTCAAGGTCCCAGTGGTGAAATCAATCTGTAAATGTGGGATTTGATCCGGTGACCTTCTGATCACAGACATGGCGTCCTAACCCACTGAACCCCACTGTTTTTTGAGAAATATAAAAACATACAAATTGTGATGCCTTAGTAATTAGAACACGTGCGGCTTATAAGTAGATTACGTTTGTTTTATTTATACATTTCCTGAAATAATGCATCGTCACCACCTAAATCAGTCACTGATGAGTGCCATTCACACCCTTGAAATGGGACATATTTAGTTCCCTGGTGGGGGGTGGGGTGGGAGCGGTATTCATAATTTTATTACCTGGCTATGTACTGCTTGGAGCAAAGACATTGAGGAGGGGGTTGCTCAAACCCCTACTTTTACTACGTGTTCACGTGCCTGCCCCCTATGGTCGGTGTAAGGTACTAACAGTGTACTAGGCGGCATTTGGCCTCCAAGTGGCTCCTGTGTTGCCGCTGTGCAGACCGACCTCTGGCAAAGCAGCAGAGTCTAGCAGTTGCTTCTGATGCAGACACTGGCTGGCTGCTCTGACCCAGCCGTAAAGATTAGCCCGGTCCTTAAAAAATGTTACATATTATGACAGCTTTGCAGATTGTGACCTGTTATTGACATAGTGGGCTTGCTCGTCTTGGTATCGATATATCAGAGTGTACAGCTGTAAGCAACAGGAAATGACACAGCGCTGAGCGTCTTGCACACCTACAGCACATGGGAATAAACGGGCACGCTGGGGTTTTCTCCCGCTGCGGCTCATCGGTTTACAATCCAGCTCATTAAATCATCCGCCTAATTAATTACGCGACGCCGCGTTCGCTCCTCAGCCGATGTGGCGCAGCAACAGTCAAACAATAACGGCCTCATCCGCCTTCAACAAACAAGCTCCTTCCCAGGCCTGTCGATGGCGCATTAATTAACTCGCACTAAATAAATATTTGCAGACACATTTTTAAAATACACGCAGGTAAGACGGTAATCTGATTGTCTCTGCCGTGCATATTAATAACGACATCTGCAAGATTGTTTTAGAGATGCTGAGTGCGGGTGGGTCATAAAAGGTATTTTGGCAAAGGGGAGTCAGTCGGGAGACTTTCTGCTCCGAAACTTGTTCAGCAAATATCCGGCGTGTTCTTTCCTCCCTTTCAGACGAGACATGATAACATTACTTTTCCAGCGGCGTGACAGATTTCTGTGACGCGACTATCAAAGGCTGATTTCCTATTCCAGAGGCATCACCATATGACTAAATCAGATGCTGGGAGATACAAATATGCCTTCAGCTGAAAGCGACAAAAGGACTCAGTTCTCCAGGGGTTAGCATCAGACTATACCATTGGTTAACACAATTGAGCTCTGTTCCAAAACGTTGTTTATCACAGATCCCTAACTGCTGAATACAGTGGTTTGTTTTCATAGACACTATAGCTAACCCGGTACCTTACATGATTATAAAACAAGCTCTTATAAATTTGGACAGACTGAGAAAATGCGCAAAATGTACGAAAGGGTGCATTTATATAATTTTCTATATGTAGATGATATTAAAAGATTAACCACAACCAAGTCAATACTAGTAGAAAAGCCTTTTAAATTTTAAGCCACGTGGTTACCTTTCATATAAATTGTATAAAATTGTAGCATTAAATATAGCCACGACATAACGTTTGATCCAAACGGAAAGAAAACGCTGGTGTACGGTGTCAAAGGAGGGGACAGTAACTGGGCACAGGTTGTCACACAAGAGCGACGGTGACGAACCCTCTTCATTATATTCGTACTCGTTCAGCGAAAGCCGCTGTCCGGAATTCTCAGTCCTAATGAACGCTTCACAAAAACTGAAACCGGTTGCCATGGGACAATACACAGTGGGCACAAAACACTTCTCCAAAAAGACAACATGTGTCAGAAAAAAGTCAGCATTACAGTGAAGACTTCCTCCAAAAGGAGTGTTTGCTTAAATAAGCATACGAGATATGAATCGCGGTGCTTCCCCAGCAAGAGCTGTCTACGGGACAGTTTCAAAACATTCGCTTTTATTCCTTGCCAAGTTGACAGTTGAATAGTTACTTTTGAATAGTTACGTCCTATTAGAAGACACCCCTGGCAAGTAACGTTGCAGCATTTCTATTTTTAGTAAACTTTTTAAAAATAATATCGAGCATGACTGACTTGATTGCCGCTCAGTATCATCACTGGACAAGCTGACTGAGTAGCTTTTTTAAAACCATCGGAATTCATGTATCAGTCTTGGTAACAGGGTTTACAATGACCCAGTAAAGCGAGCGCACACTGGCCAGCGCAAGATCTAAATACTTCGGGCAATCAGGTCACGGCTTGTTATGAAGAGCAGACATAATTAGGCCTGTTTTCAGTGCCATATTTTCAAATTAGTTAATTTTCTTTTGGACAGATATCAGCTTTAAAGTTCATAATGAATTTTCCAAGCAAAAAAACCGATTATTTAAATAGACCGCGATTTTATTATCATGAGATACAAAAAAGAATAAGGTTTCGTGAAATACAGATTTAATTTTATTTAGAAAAATATATAATATATTATAGGTGTAATATTCTCTTATAGCTAATGCAAACTATAAGTTAGCTGCATCTTCACTACCCGTTGTGCGCCTTCTCCGGATCGCGGCCGTAAGTAACGCGGTCCTCGTCTTCCCTTGTGCAATCGCCAGCGCTTTCTTTAGCAAGCAAAGAGCCACCGCTGGGTATTAGCTAAATATCTAATCTCAAGTGACAGGTCGCCCTAGTAATGGGAAGGCAGCGCGTTTGAAAGTTAGCTGCATCTGCGTTCCCGAGCCGCGCACATAACGCGTCAATTTGCACGCTGGTCCTCTACCAACCTAATAGAAATAAATGTATGGCCTGACAGTCTACTCAGTGCAGTGTAGTTGCATTGATAGAGTTTTATGAGTCAGTGGTGTGCTTCTTGAAACCCCTACGAATAATCACACTCCTTCGCCGATCGCAGCAAACCCTACACTGATGAGTCGCTACATTCACAGAAAAAGGAACAAGGGTGACAAATATATACTCATCTAAAAATAGAAACGCAGTCGTCCAATAGTATTGGCGAAGACGTCGAATGTACCGGCCAATCGATTTCCGGAGGAGACGGGTCCTGTATCATGCGACGTCGGCTATTGGTTAGAGGTGATATCATAGGCGTGTAGACAAGATGGGCCACGCCGGATTGGTCGCCGTTTCAAAAGCATACAGCTGTCACGGGAGGAAGGTTGGCTGCAAGGTTTGAATAGGGAAGTTTACCAGGCGCTGGGTCTTGTAGAGAGTTAGTTCGCGGATTGCGAAAGGTTTGCATTTGCGAGTCAAGCGGGACTCACTTTGGCAGCATTGAGATAAAAACATCTCAGTTCTGCTCGATTGCATGTACGAGTACAACAGAAGGTTGCTTGCTGTAAAGACTTCAACTTTTTTATTTACAACTTGATTGCTTGTACATTTTTAAATAGTCTGTTACGAGCAAACTTTGTCTGGGATTTAAAATGGATGTTCTACCGATGTGCGGCATCTTTCAGGAGCTTCAGATCGTACACGACACCGGGTATTTTTCGGCTTTGCCTTCACTTGAAGAATACTGGCAGCAGGTAATAAATCTCTATCTTCTTTTTAGAACTAAACCTGGTTATGTACCTAAACCGACAGACGTCAATATCAGCTGTCCAGCTGTTTGATTGGGTACTGAAACGACAACGTGCGCTGTTGCCACAACCGCTCTACACGTCACTTGGTACTTAACCCGCTAGACAGTTGTCTGAGTTTTTCTTTGCTTTTACTTAGGTGAAAATATACTGCAGCTACTGAAGTGAGACATTTATCTGACTCTGTACATGTTAAAGCAGTGTTAATCGAATCTGATCTATCTGCCGTACTGTAAATGAACGTTTTCGCTTTGCATTTGCTGTCTTATGCTAATGCATTACTTACAGGAAATAAACTCGGACGCATACCATTCATTCACTGTAGCACATCTGGAACTTATCTCGGAGTCCCTAACGGACTTGATCTCTAACACCCAAGTTCACACAGTCGGTTTAATCCCTTGCAAAAAATAAAAGAATTCGGAAGAAAAAAACAAATATAGGCTATTTTAAATTGGGCACCCTAGAGGTCTGTAAAAGAAAACTTGATGTTGCTCAAAAATGGGAATATTTCGCCACGGTTAGATGGACTAAATGAATGAGATTGTGACGCAACAATGCAATCGCTTGTTTTTGTTGCGATGTGGAACATTGTAAGAGCGTAATCCTGCTCGGCTCTCACGGCAACAGTGTCTCACCGATTGCTTACTGCGTCTGAAACTTATGCTGCTCTGGGTGTTTTGAAATGTTGACGTGGGAGGTACTAAATAAACTCTAGTTTACTAGAGTCTTTCTTTTTTATGAAACAAAAATAAACATGAAACAAGAATGAAGTGTCATCGGGCCTACGTGAACGACGTACTTTGACAGGAGTGCTTAATTAGTATGCATTTTTTTTTCTTCAAAGCTGCTTTTGTAGGGGGATTTGCGATTGAAGTTGAAAGCGGTTCCCTTCAGGCATTTTAGGGTCTGGCACCGAGTCAAGTTCTTCGCAGAGTCGCTTTTGGTAACGGGTACACGTATGTTACACTATAGGCAATTATTAAGCAAGTATTTTAAAATAAACGTGATTGGAGAGCATGAAGTGGCGTCTGAATCGATACTGTAATGAAGGATACGTACGTGGTTTTCATGGTGATCGTCAGATATCTGTACAGTCATAATGAAAAAGTACCCATGTCAAAAGCGACACTGGGGACCCCGAGAGCCGCGCGACGGCTCGGCGTGTGGGGAAGCGGCGAACTTCCGCAAAATGCAACTTAGAATAATTACGTAACTTTTAAAAATATGCAAACCGGTTGTTTGGACAGGAGGACGTGAAGCTGCTGAAGCAAAGTGATTATTACAGTCCTACGGAAACCCAGGATGGGTAAATAAGGCTCGGAGGAAGTTTAGATGCTTCCTTCCTTTAAGACCTGCACGGCTCTAGGTATCGCAGGTCCCAGATCAGTCGACGCTCGCCCTGCGGAAGCTTTAAAAGGCGTTATGTAATAGTGGGTTATGGACTTGAAACGTAAACTGGAGGATAACGACGAGCAGCAATTATCGCATGAAAAAACGAAACTGCCGGTGATATATAATAACATTATTATTGTAATTATTATGATTATTGTTATTATGATTGTCATTATTATTATTATTATAATTATTGTCATTATAGAAGGTTTAATCGAAAATGACAATTGTGGGTAAACATACACTGCATTCACATTTCTTATGTCCAGGGTTGTCCCAGTGTCTTTATTTATTTGGCAGATGATATCTTGTCATTCATATTACATCAGTGTTTTACATTATGTTTTTGTTGCTTAGCTGCTATGATTATTACAGACGTATAGGATCAGCTTTGCCGGGAGAGAGCAGCTCCCCCTAAACCTGGGCCATCACCAGGCCACGTGCCAAAGCCGTCCCTAACCCCGCACCCCTCCCCTTTGCTTTCGCCCAGACCTGCCTGGAGCTGGAGAGGTACCTTCAGAGTGAGCCCTATGTCTCTGCGTCCGACATCAAGTTCGATGGTCAGGAGGACCTCTGGAGCAAACTGATGCTGATGAAGGCGGAGCCTGGTCCGCGAATCGCGCGCATCGCTGAGGATGACGGCCCCGACAACCACATCTCAGAGACCAACAGCTTGAGCTCTGATGCCAGCAGTGAGACGTCAGACAGCTCGGAGGACCTCTCGCCTACGTGCAGCTTCACAGCCGACTCGCTAGGGGGCGTTCCTGTCCACGGGGGCCACTTCGGCTCCTCGGTCATCGCCACGCCGCCATCCTCGCCAGAGGCAGTCAGGGAGGCGGGGGCTCCCCGGGTCTGGGGCTCCGCACACCCAGAGCAGAGCTCCCCAGGGAAGATCCGAGGTGGCGGCGTGGGAAAAGGGGCGGAGAAAACGCTGGTGGGAGGGGCTGGGGAGGTGTCACCCGACGGCAGGAAGCGGGTCCATCGCTGCCACTTCAGCGGCTGCCGGAAGGTTTACACGAAGAGCTCACACCTGAAGGCGCATCAGCGCACACACACAGGTGAGCTCCTTGGCACGCTGCCTGGTCATGTGACCACATGGTGCCCAGCCTGACAGCCAGAATCCCAACTTAGAGGACGATAGGAGCTGTAGCTGGGGTGTTTAACTCCATCCTCCCCAATTAAATTCCCCTGATTGAAAAAAGTATGACTTAACCCACTTGGAATGTGGGTACTTGTGGGGGGAGGGGGGCTTATTTGGATTAAGAGACACGGTTCATCAAAGACCTAAAATTTCACAATGGGAATGGAAAACCATTCAGTTTTTTTTAATAACTGTCCAAATCTTTTTTAATGCTTTTGTTGCAATTAAACAGCGTTTATTGCTCTTTTTAGCCATGAATTTCTCTGTGTTGAGTGTGATTGACCGACCGTGACGCCAGAATGCCTACCCACAATGCTGTGCGTCCCGATGCAGGTGAAAAGCCATACCGGTGCTCGTGGGAGGGCTGTCAATGGCGTTTCGCACGGAGCGACGAGCTGACAAGACACTTCCGGAAGCACACGGGAGCCAAGCCCTTCAAATGCAGCCACTGTGACAGGTGCCACCTCTCTTTCACCCCCACCAATCACATCGTTATCTTTCTGTGACAACTAATAGAAAGACCTTTTTGGGACACTGAAGGATTGTATTATAGAAAAAATGTGCATGTCTACTATTAATTTACGGGGCGGTTTGTGGCTCAGCGGGTTGGAAAGTCACTGGTTCACATCCTAGAGTTGCCAGAGTGGTCTCATGTTTGGGCCCCTGAGCAGGGCCCTTAAGGCCCTTAAGTCCCAGTCGCCCCAGTCACCCCAGGGACTGTCTGACCCTGCTTTCCCAAAAAATAAATGTGTGTTGCTTTGGATTAAAGTATTTGCTAAATAAATGAAAGGTAAAATGTTTAGGATGTGACTGTGATTTGCTTTCGCAGGTGTTTCTCCAGGTCCGATCACCTGGCCCTTCACATGAAGAGGCACCTCTGAGCTGGGATCTGGGGAGCAGCGGGACATGGTCCTGTCTCCTGGCTTGGCTCGCGGTTCGAGCCGCCCTCAGCGGAGGGGAGAGTGCCCTTTGCACGGTTCTTGGTGCCTCCGGAACTTTCCCGGGAGAAGATGCTCTGAAGGTTGCAGAATGCAAAGCAGCTGAGCGTGAGGGGGGGTGGGGTGTGTGTGGGGGGGGAGAGTCTGTGAAAAAATAAGACAACCTGTGTGCATGTGGCACGGCGTCTGGGGGGGGCTATTTTTTTGTCTCCCACCCGGACGTGTGCACCGGTGTGACCCACAGGGGGCCCGGTGCCGTGAGAATGTCTGACCTTGTGTCGCTTTTGGACTGAATGGTGCAGAGGAACAAGGTCCATTTCCCCGTTTCCTCATGGTGATGGGGAGAAAAGGGGTGGACGAGGAGGGGATGCATGCGGTCGAGTGCAGCAGGGAGTCTGGACTTCCGGGGGAGGATGGGGGGTGTCTCCTGAGGGGAAACTACTATGGTCTGTCTTCGATGACATCAGTGCCCCTCCCCCCCTCGTCTCAAGGAAGGCGGAAATCCCTTCTGAATGAAAGGGGCTTTTTTTTTGGTGTTCGGTGCAGCTAATACATGTGCAATGTGTTAAGTAGCTTGTTTTTTACATGCTACAAAGCTGATTTGTAGTCCATTGTATAAGCCACGTGCTTAGAGGTATAACACAACTATAACGTCATAATAGAAGCCGGTGTTGCATGGTTAGGGTTACTTCCTGTCAGCTAACAGGACTGCAAATAGATTCCAGTACAGTGCAGCTAAATGGTCCAATGTTATATTATTGTGCATAAGGCCTTTTTTTTGAGGGGGTTTAAACCACTATTGCTTAGCAACCGTTACTTATGAACCATTTCCTTTAACTTATTTATGACTTCAGGACTAATTTCGGCTTCTTTTTTCACTGTTAATGCACTGTTGACCTTAATGGTGCCTTATCCAAGCGACCTTGTCCTGTGGAATAGATGACTCCTTTGGGGGATGGGGGAGGGGGGGCGGGTCACGTGTAGCGATGTGGTTTATCGAAATGCTTTATTAAGGCTCTATTTCACATGATCTTGCACTTTTCTTTGTGTACGCAGATGGTTATCGGTGACTTTCAGAGTAACCAGCTGACATCATCTGTTAGGGTTTGATCATTTTTCTGGCATCACACGAAAGTTTTTGTTTTTTTCCTTCCCCGGCTAAAATGAGTCGAGTCTGAAAGAGCAAGAGAAACCCTGGAAATTTCATTGTCATAGTGCACTTAAGGAACAATTCGTTGAATTGTTTACTACCATGTAGTATTTCATGTATATTGGTTCTACACTGAATGTGTTGATTTTATGTTGTCGGAGGTGCAGAGTCCCGATGAGGCAAAGCTGCAGCGCTGTGCTGTTGCGTGTTGGAAGTGCAGCCATGCCAACCACGCTCGCTGGCTGGAGATTAACTGTAATTATGAAGCAGCAGTCAGGGCAGGCCCCCCCCCTCGTCACGCAGCCGCTTAGCCAATCGCCTGAGGGCACGCAATGCCGTGGACTGCTGACTCGGGGAAGCGGTGCACCGAGCTGTCTGCTGAGGGGAGCTTTGGTCGTGGTGCCGGGGTTCCGCGGGCAGCATTCTGCACTTTTCCGTTGAACATATTCAGTGTAAACTGTGATTCAAAACATCAGCTAATGACGGCTGAGAAGCATTTTTAAAGGAGATTCATATTTTACACAGTAAGGGACCAAAATAAACAAACTGTATATAATATCGCCTGGAGAGATGGCTACTGATTCCAGCCGCAAATTGAAGTTCTGAAAACAGAAACTTAATGTGCATTATGAGTAACTAGAAAGTTATAGGTGGGTTTTTTTTTTTTTTTTGGAACATGCCATTTAAAAAAAAAAAAAGTGATCAAGTTAAAGCATATTGCTGCCATTACAGTAAAACCTGGGTCTGGGACTTAAAAAATCTTTTTCGCGAAGCAGCAGCCAATGACATTCAGGTGTTAATTGAGCCTTAATTAAGCCTCACGTGTGTTTGCAACTTAACCAACAAATGTTTCTGTAATTTGATACTTCTTGTTCTATCAAAAATCCCTGTTATCTTAAGAATCTTTGTAAAAGCATTTTTGTAAGTTTTGTTTTTTGCTTTACAAAATTTTATTTTAAATTGTTTTGCAAAATTATTTCTGTATGAATGTATTTTTTATTGGAATAACAAGAAATTGGTTATCAGATGTTGTGTAACTGTGTTGTTATTTCTTCAAATTTTATAGGACATTTGGGGGAAGCTTTGGGTTTGACCTCAGTAACTAGGCTGGTAGCTGAACATCTAAAGAGATCTAACAACAGAATGAAATTACAGCTTTTCTCATTATCCAGAGTGATCTAAAGAAACATACAAAAAACAACAATGACACTTCCGACTAAATAATCCAAGTAATTGTAATTACAATTGTTTCCTGTCTGTGGTATTTGTACTTTCCTGTCATCGTCAAAGCCTTTGACGTGTTGTTTTCTTGAGATGCTGAGGGTCAGGCTTCAGAAAGCTGCAGTTCTTTGTGGAGCCGCTCGATCTGTATTATCGTAAAGATGAGATTCCAGGCGGCACTTTGGGATATATCTGTCTGTCTTAGTGAAACCCGGCCCAGATCAACTTCACCTGAATGCATCTCTGAACACATTTTTGTAAAGATCAGTTTGTCCGTCATGTGTCGTCGTTTATTTACTCTGTTGTTCTCAATTTGCACACAGATTATTATTATCCACCTTAACAAGCATGTACTTGTTCCTTGGCATATGGAAGAATGGGCATAAAATAATAGAATCTAGGACAAGAGTCATGGGTTCGAGGTTCCAGAAGGGAAGGATGGATGGACAGACAGACAGACTGACTGACTGAGACAGACAGGGTCTGTGGTTTTACTGCTGACTGATGGTTGATCATCTAGAAGCCAAGCATGTTTAATGTAGCTCAGTTTGAGAGCACTTGATGCCTTCAGGGCCGGACGAAGCCCATGAGGATCGCTAGGCAAGCTTTACTGCCAGTGCCCTCAGTCTGAGACAAACTCAGACTGGACTGCTGAGTTGGGACACCCTGACAAAATGGGCTGACTGGCAGCGGATGCCTTACACATGAGAGCCGGTGGGCAGGGCATTGTCTGACCAGGATGATGCCGGCTTCAAAGCGTTCAGAGCAGATGGTGCGGCCTTCCTGCACACACACATCAGCATCGTTATAATGTATCCATGGTGATTGACGGGTCTGCCTATTTACAAGATGTTACATAATGTCAGCGTGTCAGATTTACACTACCCGGTGTTACGTGGGCATCGTCTCCAGGCCTGGCCCCTCTCGCCTTGGAGTGATCTCGGAGAGATCTCGGAGTGATGGATCACCATGAGCCAATACATCCCCATCCAGATGACACACAAGCACCCCAAGCATAATGGGACGGAAATCTTATTCTATTCAAATGAATACTAATTTTTTATTAATAATGTAATTCCTGCGGCTTTTAAAGGATTCCGTTTGGTAATACTGGAATATTACTTGACTAAAACGTTTTTAATCCTTGACAATCTTAAGTGCTTACACCTTCTGGCAGCTTAGATCTTGTTTTCAAATCATTAAATCTTCAATTTGAAGTGAGCTGATATGCCAAAATAAAGGCTTTATGTTTCATTTTCAGAGGGACCACTTTGAGGTTTACAGGAGATTAGATTTAAAGAAACAGTCCGCCGAGGTTATGGGAGGAGCGTGGCCTCCGTGGGGGGTGGGGGAAATGACATCACTCGGCTGACCTTGTCAGAGTCCCACCCGGACGGGAGGCATGTCTGCGTCCTATGCAAAACGCAGTGGGAATGACATCACCAGGACAGGATCTCTCTCACTCCTGTCTGCTGGCGCATGACAGGGAGGAAAGAAGACAATGCCTCATGTTTTGGGTGCCTGACAATAAAAGGGTATCAGCTGAAAGCAGAGAAATAAGCTTTTGGCTTTAAAAGTGAAGTATTATGGTAATAATTTCTCAGAATTAAAGTTGTAAAGGCAAACCTAATGTTTGCAAATATTATATATATACTATATGTTTAAATGAATGAGAATGCTTGACTTGGCTATGATGATGGCGGCCAGTGGACAGTACTCGCGGGGGTGTCGATGTCCTTTCTGGCATGGCAGCTTCAGCAGGTGGCTAACGGGCTAACAGACCGAGGGGTTTCCCTGTCGGGTGGGGCGGTCACCCTTCACAGGGTGGGAGAGGCTTACACAGCTTAAAGTTTGTGGAATTCCAGGAATACCAGGGGACACCAAACCTACCCCCCCTCCCCCCCACTCACAAGTGCACTTAAGACTTTGCAAGTGGTCCTATATTTTCACAGGTGCCGTCTCCAATACACCCACTCTGTCACAGTACAGTTAACTGCCAGAAGTTTCTATTTAATCGTACACTGGAGTTTTTTGTGTTCCAGGTCAGTCAGGTGTCAGAGAAGCAGAATAAAGGAGGAATAATTTGTGATGTTAGAATGTTGGATGGAGATCGATGACAGATCCCCAGGCCAGACAGACCTGATTTTTATTTGTAAAAATAAACTCCTCCTGGATGGTTGTGTGTGTACAATGAGGGTCATCGCCACCAAACAAGCATGCTCTCCAGTTGTTTAACTTAACAGCAGCTATGACTGAAAAGCTGAGTGGATGGGCCGGGCTCACTTTGCCCCCCCCCCCCCCCAGTGGAATTGGGCCTCCATCCATCCATCAGCAGGACAACTGTACACTGGGCCCTGGGGCAAAAATGGACCGTGCCCCCCCCCCTCCCACCCCCTTCCAAAATCACACCGCGGGCCTGCCTACACCAGCTGCAGCAGATGATGAAATTTAAGTAGCCTCCAAATATCACCCATCATGCATTGCAGTAGTTAGCAAATTCCACAAACATGCTTTTATCGTTAAATACATGCCTCGAAAACATACTTTGATTACGAAACATTAATTTTAAAATTAAGTATTGTACCTATTGTACCAAATATTTTTTTGTGTTGACTCCCACCATAATGAGGTTGTATACATAAAAATGAGAGACATAAAAGTAGCATGTCACAGATTCATACAATATGCATAACATTAGTGCCTTAATCATCAGGACTCGTTTGTGCATATGTGAGATGCAGTTGGAGGAGGCCCTTGGTGTCATTAGGGGGGCTGGGCCCAGGGGCACCTCCTCCGATTGCCCCACCAACCTAGCCCAATCCTGCATCCATCCATCCATCCAGGGAAATAATTCAGTACTTGAAAAATGTTGTTGCAATCAGTCTTTGATAACCGGCTTTATTATCAAGGTCACCCTTCTGATGAAGTGATGAGTGAGGCTTTAAAAAACACTAATTTTTTTATTAAACTCGGCTGGCCTGCACAATGGCACATACCAACATATCCACTTTCAATGCACGTCCGCCAATTGCTTTGCACATTAACCAAGATCACAAACATTTAATAGATAATATAGTTCACATCTTGTCGAAATGCACCCAGGAGCCCTGAGAAGAAAACAAGGTATTATTAGTTTGCGTCAGAAACTGAAATGCTTTCAACATCCCATTCCATCTTTTCAGCAGGTTAACATTGCGCTGTTGCATTAATCACCATGACAACTGGCTCCTCTTGGCTTGTTATGCCCAGTGGAGAGATAGTTGTAACCATGCATATTCTAATTTCACACTTTGTGAATATTTCTATCCCGCACCTACGCTGACATCCATTCTAATTTGCAGTCTCTTGACAATGCCCCAAACTTAGAAGGCTCTGTTTTTTTCCTCAAAAGATTTTTTCCACTCAAGTTCAATTGATCAACGGGGCGAGCTGGTTATTCTGATATAAACTCAAGCACGTCATTTCCGAGATGCTCAGAGACACATTGGCTGTGTGGTTTAAACGTAAAATATGCAGGATGTATTATAATGGTAACATCACATATTTTGAATGTTATCTGTAATTGATTTGCGCTCATACATAGTCATAACAATGAAAACCTTTTCACAACTGACCAGAAAATCGAATCATCCAAGACATTTCCCATTCGCTTTTTAACTTGGTAGGTTAATCAGAAACTGGCTCTATTTTTTTGCTGTAAAATTAATAGCAAAGTGTCTCTGATTTAGTCAGAATGTGTCATTTGGAAATGATTAGAAAAAGTAACACGATAAGTAACTTTGTGACCCGAGAAGGTCTGAATAATAACAGATAACCGATGACAAGCATTGTTTGGATTACAAGCTGTTTCACGATTGAGAACTGCAATAGATTTTAACCATTATCTCACTATCAGCCCGAAATTAGCATGCAGCATTGAAACGTTACCTACTCAGCTCTATCGTGCTAAATGATCTTAGTAGCACCTCTTGTATATCACATATACGTGGAGTGATTATTGTAAACAGTCCAGAGTAAGTGGGCAAGGAGTCCTGCCGCTTCATAGTGGTACCACCCATCAGATGTGATGCTTCACTGCAGAAACTGTACTTCGGGAACAGGGTATGTGCTATCCACTACACCACATGTGAGTCCAGTCTGCAATTTTGTCATGCATATTTCAATACAATTTGAATATCCCGAGTGACTCATTCCCTTGACTGATCCTCCGATGATCACGTTCACTCAAACTGGTGACATATTGCTCAGCAAGTTCTGTGACCTGCATTGCCCACATTTTCTAATAGTACATCCATAACCTCCCTGAACCTTCCCCTTCAACACAGCTGACCCTGCTTAAGCCTAACGAGACGATCGATCCCATCACGGTCAGCCGCGCCTCATTACCTGAGGCAGTTCTAGTTAATAGCCTGAAGATCGATTTCCAAGGAGATGCTAAAGTTCTTCCAATTCAAAACCAAGACGGTATCCCCAGTGAGCTCAGACTTCCCAGTCTGACCAAAGTATAACTCCTTAACCACAGCTAAGTGACTGCAAAACAGTGAACCAAACTGGCACAAGCAGGGGAGCCAAACTATGCACATTTATTAAAGCTGTAGTGTCTGTTAAGTCTCCAATCAGAGCCTTGTACAGCTCACTGCTAAATGCTGTCACTTTAAATCTGTGAAATGAGGGGGCGTGACTAATTTTAAATCTATTATGTGTTTAACAGCCCATTGTTTTTACACGCAATTCAGTCCTTCCATTGTTAGCTCTGCTGCCGGTAGCGTATTTAACCCCAATGAAGAGCCAATTTATGCCCTGTAA